CCTCTGCAAAGGCAGGTGAAGGAAAAGCCCTCTGCAGCTGCTGTACCCACCAAGGCCAGCCTGGCTCCCACAGGTCCCCGAGGACGGGAGCATGGGACCTGGGAGGGATGAGAGCAGACAGAAAAAGTGAGAGAAAAGGAGACCAGGGAGTAGGTCAGTCTTTTGGCAGAGCTGACACCACCAAACCTTGAGAAATTACGACATGGGCTCAAAAGTAAGTTCAGTTCTGTTTCTTCGCTGCCTTCAGATCCTCTTTTCAGCCTCATTTCCCAGGCAGAAGAATACTTCCTTTGCGAAAAAAAAAACAGCTGAGACTGGTACAGTGCAGCAGCAGTCTTACAGCATGGGCTTCAAGGAGGAAAGAAGACAAAACAAAACAACAAATGCTGCAGTTTGGCTAGCCTCACTTTGTGGACCGTGAGCACCCAGAGACTGGGCTCAGGCCTGGAGGCTGGACAGCACAGGCTCAGCCTGTGGGGAGCTGGGGTCCACGCTGGAGATGAACCCCACAACAGAGCTCACTCCTTTGCATCCCCTGCAGCACCCATGCACCCGCCCTTACACGGCAGCAGGGATCCCTGGGGTGCCAGGTGTGCAAAGCCACAGCAGCACAGAAAAGCCACTACCCTGGTACACCATCTGCCACAGGAGGGATGTGCCACACTCTGCTGCTCAGCCCCGCCAGCCCAGGACATGGCCACAGGGCTCTGTGCTCAGGTTGCGGTGCTGGCAACAGGAAGGCTGTACATGGCATCCCTCTCCTCCCATCCCTGCCCTGGCTGTGCATGCTCATTGTACCTCAACCTCCCTGCGTCACGGCAAGGCACTGTGCTGCCCCACGCTACCCTGGCTCCAGCACTGCTTTCTTCCATGAGTCTCCGCCTGGGACCAGGGCTGTCTGTTGGCTCATGATGAGTTCCTGCATAGCACATGGTATGCTGAGATGTCAGATGAGCAGGACAGTGGGACGTAGTGTGCAGCACTAGATACAGCAGGGGAGCCCTGCATAGGTTGGTTATAAAACTCTCTCGATTTTACTGCCTGAAATCACTTCCCTCCAGCCTGGCAGCTGGCAGCCTTTGGTAAAGCTTGGTAAATATTTCTGGGGCAGACAGTTCCTTGTCTGGCTTTAATTACCTGGGCAAATTTTCCTAAGGATTATATTGACCTCAAATATGTCAACATTTATTGAGGCTGTGTTCCTGAGGCTTTTCCCTTTAGATGTTAATGGATTCTGGCTAACAGTCAAGCCGGATTCACCACTGGAGGGTACCCTGGCTAGCTCTGGGATACCACAAGTACCTGGGGAGAGGGCTGGGGAGGGTTACACCAGCTTTGTGGAGCGAAGCATAAAAATCACCATGGCCCCAATCCAAAGAGATCAGGGAACACACTTGAGCAATTGCATTCCTAACTATCTGCTTCTCTGGGCATGATTCACTCCAAGTCGTGGCTGTATTTACGTGTGAGACTTGAAGCAAAGGTTGCTTTTGCTTGGGACTGTTCCCTCCCCAAGGGAAAGAGGAGTCCAGCACTCCTCTGCAGAGCTCCCATTTGCTTCTGTCCCTTGGGCCCATGCTCGGCACAGTGGTCACTCACCACTGCTGCGATAGAAAGCCGCGTCACAGTGGTTGTTCTGAAATCACTTCCCTCCAGCCTGGCAGCTGGCAGCCGAGAGCATGTCCAGGCTACCTGTGTGCGTCTCATGTGTGGTCGTCGGTTAGAGCAGCATCTAGGTCCCTTGCAAGTCACGTCACCCAAGGTTGGGCATAAGCGTGTGCTCCCCTTCCTTTCTCTGTGCCCCTCACTGCCTGCCAGCTAGCTGCCAGCCCCACGCACACACTGACGCCCCTCTAATCGCTCAGCTGTGTGTGGCTGGGCAGTGGTTTCTGGTGCGTGTGCACAGGTGTGCACAAGGTGCACGTCAGCTTCTGTGCCTGTATGTCTGCACAGAACTGCCTGCCCCTGTCATCCCTGGCACAGATCCAGTTGCCCTGGCTCTCCACACCCAGCCTGCTGCCCTGCTTGCTCCTCCGGCAGAACTGCATGTCCCTGCCAGGGATCCCCAGGTCGACCTGGCAGCAGATAGCCTTGCAGCCTCCCCATGCACCAGCTCCCTCCTCGCACTGCATGCCGGGCTCATGCTGCCCTGCCCACGCAACAAGGTCCACATCCTGTTGAAGAACTGCAGTGCACCCAGGAATCACCTGCTCACTCCCAGATATTTGGAGTTAATTACATCCTGAGCAAAAACAACAGTTTTAAATCCTCTCCCTTCCTTCCTCTCCTGTTTTGTAAGGAAAATCTAAATCCAGCTGCAGCCCCCAGGGCAAAACTTGCAGCGCTGAGCAGGAGGGTGTGCCAGAGGAGGGAGCCAGGGCAGGAAGGCAGGAAGACGCTGGGCTAGTTTCAGGCTGTGACCTCAGAGTCACTGTCCCTGCCATGTCCCTATTTCCCCACAGCCCCCCCATGCTAAGGCTGCTCTGGAACTGCTGCTCTGGGATGTGAGCGGGACAAGGTCCAGCCTAAGTGATAAGAGCCGTTATCCACAATCCTGCAGCCAAATGTGAGTAGTTTTGTTCTGGGGAACTGGGCTGGCTTTGGACCACTCTGGCACTGCTCTGGGCGGAGGACACATTCAATCCACGCTTGTCACGGGAATGAGACACTCAGCTCCTGCAAGGCAGAGGCAGGTTTTGGGCTAGGTAACAACCTGCCTTTGCTTCAGGTAGCTGCCACAACAGCAGAGATTAGCTTGAAGGCAACCGCTGCATCTTGAGGGACTGAGGTCTGTGCTAGTGGAGGCATGGCAGCTCCAGATCTCTGGGTCTTGCTTCATGAAGAAGGAGAGGTCTTCTCCTCCGTGTGCTTTCTCCCCCAAAAGTCCAGTGCATGATCACCAGTTGCTGAGAGGGAGCACTGGTATCACTTTGCAGGAGGATGCCTCTGAAGAGCAAAGGGAAAGGGAGAAAAGGAGTGAAGCAGCAGCGGCAAAGACACACAGCAGGTGAGTCTGGGATCTTGTCTCCTTCCAGCCAGCAGAAATGTGCCTTTCCTGTCCCTCCCCTGCTGCTTTCTGGCCCTAGCAAGGACAGGCACCACAGGGGCTGCCGAAAGCGGGAACTGGGAGAACTGGGAGCACCGGTGCGAAGGATCGCACTAGAGTCCCATGAGATAGCCTGGCTGTGGCTCTCATCTCCCCCAGCCCGGCTCACTCTGTGCCAGAGCAGCAGCGCAGTTACGCCAGATGAGATGCAGGAGGTAGGGGGTCCAGGGCCTTGCCCAAAGCACCCTGCATCCCCCTGACTTTGGGAGGAGAGAAAGGCTAGGAATAAGTCACTGCTGGGCCAAGGCACCAAGGAGGTACTGGGTGGGGAATAGCCATCCAGTGTGGTTTGGATGGTGCCCTTTGACTGCCTGTGCTCAGGCCAGGCCCATGGCATGGGTCACCTGTCAGGAAGCACGTTGTCCCCATGGCAGTCCTGTGCATCTCCGGCTCACGGTTCACTGGAAGGAGACGACCTGGCAGGCAAAAACTGACAACAAAGGGCTCAAGCCAAGGCTGTGGGACCCGGAGAAGGCACAGGAAGACAGGCGAGACATATGTGAAGGTGAGGACTGAGGAGAGAGGGGGCAGTGGGACAGATGCAGGGACTCCACGCCTTGGTGCTGCTGGGGGAAGCCAGCCAAGCCACCTGTCCCTTTGGCCTTGACCGCTCAGCCCCAGATCCCCCTGTTGTTGGCTAGGATGCTCCCTCCCATGCTGTCAACACCCAAAGGCTCTGGACATGGACTCATTGCACTCAGATGCCTGTACTTAGCGCAGGCAGAGGAGACAACAGAGGCAGAGACTTCCCTGCCTGCAAAAGTGATTGCCTTGCCGTTTCCGTTAGTGCTCCAGAAGGGGCTGATTTTAGCAGAGGTAAAACCTCAGCCAGAGGTTTGTGGTCTTTGCCACATGCAAAACTCTGTGCTCATTTTCACTCACGCTCAACAGAGAGGTAAAACTTTCCCTCCAGGGCTCCCTCCTGGCCCCTCCACCCTGGCATTGTCACAGCCCTGCCAGGCAGGGAGAGGGTGCATGCACTGCTGCTTCTTCTGGTGTATCACCCTGCAAGGGGAGCCGTTGGGTCAGGCCTTGCTGGAGCCCCTGCCTGGTCACAGGTGCCGGGATCCGAGCACAGGGACCACCTGCTTGTCCTTCCTGTGGTGACCACGTTTGTTCCCTTCTCCCTTCCCTGGCTCCCAGAAATGACTTGGCAATACCAGGAGCTGCAGAAGCAGAAAGCAGCCAGCAGCCAGCACTCAGAGGCAAAGGTGAAGAGCCTGCAGGAGCAGCTCAGTATGGTCCCCCAGCACACCTGCCCCTCACCGGTGGGTAGGGATCGGGTTCACTCCAGGGCAGCAAAGTGCAACTGTGGGGAGTAAGGGGAGATGGGAGTCATTCCCTGTGCTGTCAGCGTGGCAACAGCTGAAGGCAAAACCTGACCCTGTTCCCAGTGCATCCCCAACCTTGGGAGATGCTGACTGCAAAGGGGATGCTGTGATCTCATCTCTGCTCCAGAGCCCTCTGCCTCCCTGGGGATGAGAGGGATAGACAGGGGCTGTGCTGCCTGCTGATCGTACCCTCCCATGCACCGGTCATGCCATGCTAGGGTCCCGTACCCACGTGCTTGGTGTCCCCGGCCTCTGTCCCTGCATCCCACTGCCACCAGGCTTCGGGAGAGCCAACAGACCCAGAAGGCTGCTATCCTATCACTAGCAGAGAGGAATGGGACCATCGGCCAGCTGCAGGGCAGGCTTGATGCCATGGAGAGGGAGTATGAGAAGATCTTCCACATGAGCGGGGACATGGCAGTAGGTGGCTCCCTCTGGCAGTGTGATCCTCCCTCCTCACCATCCTCTTTCCCACCAGGGTAGCCTGGACGTTGTGCTGGCCAAGATGGCAAAGGCTAGCCAGCACTGGGAAGAGGTAGGAACGATCATCACTGCAGAGCACAAGAAGTGCGTAGAAGAGTTTGGCCTCAACCCTTGGCTATCTTGCATCCTGGGACTTCTGAGACAGGACAGGCTCTCAGCCCCTACCTCTCAGCACACTTGGAGAGCTTCCCACATCCACTGCCCAACACCCCAGCTGCTGCAGGATAGGTAAGCAAAGATGGGTCCTGTCTGCCCAGTAATGCACTACTGAGTCACAGTCTTCTCCATAATGTTACCCACACGAACAGCAGTGTGGATGTGTCCTTTAATTATACCCCAAAAGGGTGACACAGGAACGGTGCTGTGATGGGGAGTGGACACTCACTGCCCACAGGTTCACAGGGAGGATGAGAGGAGTAGCACGAGATAGATGTCCATGGAGGTGCAGAGCCGAGTCAACAGGCTGAGAGGTGGGGGGTTCCTCCATCACCCCGTCAGCCTCTGTTGCTCCGTTTCACCTTCACACAACAGCCTGAAGGCCAGCCCTGGGCTGAGCCAAGCCTCAGGCTCCCCAGTCCCCTGGGTCATGGCATGCAGGGCAGTGCCTTGGCTCTCCTGGGACCTCCCAGAGCCTTAAGCTGGGCAGGGGCTTCAGTGCAATGTCCCTAGATACCCCTGGAGGCAGCCAGGCAGGCAAAGACACAGGTCTGTCTTCAGGTTACAAGAAGCCACCACCATGGTTAATAAAAGCTTGGAGCCAGCCTCGGTCAGTGGAGATGAGTCTCTGGGAGTTGTGATGCTGTAAGTCTCATCACGGGCACAGCGACACAGTGGCTGGGAGCGCAACGGCCATGCTGAACAGCACTGTGCTGTCCAGGGAGCCGGGCAGGGAGCACCGATGGGCTTGACGTGGCCTGGGTCGAGGCGCTGTGCATGGGAGCCTGGCTGGAGGCAGGGTGCGCCTGGGCTGCTAGAACGCCTGGTGCAGCCTCCTTTGCTCCTCCTGGCGCGGGCTCTGCAGGCACACAGCAGGGGCATTGCGGGCAGCATGCATCCACCCACCACACCACACTCCACTCTTGGCCATGGGCAGGTTGGAGTGGTCTTTCTGCCTGACCCTTGTGGCCAGGGGACCATGCAGCCCCCTCCTGCCAGCGTCACAGGTGCCAGGGAAACATTAGGACAGGCAGGGCAGGTGCGTGCCAGGACTCAGAGCAACACCGGGCTGTGAGCAGCACTGCTGCGAGGGCCTGGCACAAGGGGTTACCTGTGTGATCTCTATACTGTTAGCAGCAGCCACCAGCCAGGAGCCGAGTCCCTTTGGTCCCACCTCAACATGACAGAGTCCAGGGGAGTCAGTGGGAGAGGGCAGGGAGGGCGTGCGGGAGCCTGAGGCAGGGTCACTGTCCTCAAAGAACAGCAGAGGGGACAGCCCAATCTGGAAGAGCAGAAGAGGGATAGCCGTACAGCTCCTCACGCTCCATGGCAAGCCAGGTTCCCTAGAAAGGACCTCACTGTGCAGGCCTGGGGCCAAGACACCCATCCCATCATCCAGCCTCACAGCACCCCAGATCTCCCCAGCCCGGGTGGGACCACACTAGGTCCTCCAAACCTACCGACTGGTAGAACTCATCACCAGCAGGGTCGATGACCAGCAGCGCATCCAGGGCCCGGGACCCTGAGCCCCGTCTGCTGGTGGTCCAGCCCCTCGATGCTCTCACCATTCACTGCCAGGAGACGGTCCCCTTCCTTCATCCCTGCCTGCTCGGCCGGCAGCCCCACGTCCACATCCCACAGGAACTGGCCTGCCGGACAGAGGAGGGGGTGGGGAGATGCTCACAGAGGTGTTTGGCCAGAGGGGAACTGGCACTGCTGGCCCCCAAATGCAGGTGGGGACAGGGTCCTGCTGTGGGCACGGGGATTGCAGCTATTCTCAGCCCTCAGACATGCCTTACTCAGGTACGGATTGCCTCCCTTAGTCCCCTCACCTGTGGCTCCTGAGCGGCAGTCATCCTCTTTGAGCAGAAACCCATAGCCAGCTGGACCCTTCACCATGTGAAGCTCCCGGACCTTGAAGGGGAGCCAGGAGGTGTCTGCCAAGGCGGCCGTGACCTGCAGGCCCCGCAAGCGGTAGAACTCCTCCACGGCACTGGATGCCACCAGCAGCGTCACCTTGCTGCCGCTTTGCTTAAGCTGGATGGGAAATGCAGGGTGCTCAGTGACATCGCCAGCCCCAGTCCCCCACCCACCTCGGCCAGGAGCACACACCTTGCGGGCGAGCTGTGTGTGTGAGTAGCTCCTCACGCTGGCCCCGTTCAGCTCCAGGAGCCAGGAGCCTGGTGGCACCCCTGCTCTCTCCGCTGGCCCGTCCTGCTGCACTGACAGCTGGAAGGTGCCCTTCACACCTGCAGGGAGAAGAGGCAGTCTGGGGCGAGCAGGGCACTGTGTCAGGGAGGCTCACTGCACTGGCATCCCAGTGCCCACTTTACCTTCTGGACCCGACACACTGAAGCCAAAACCACTTTTGTCCCGCGTGATGTGGCAGAGGCGTGGGCGGATGTCAGTCGGCAGCATTTGAGACAGGTCCCTACCCAGGGCTTTGGCTGCTTCATAGGAGTCGCCATCCAGCACCGTCAGTAGGACCTGGTTCCCGCTGGCCTTGATCTTCTGCACCACCTGAAAGAACCCTGGCTGTGAACCCCGGGCTGGGTGTCCAACCACAGCCTGTGGGGTCAGGGCCCTGGGGCAGCAGGGTCCCACACCCTCCATGAGCCTGGCTGGGGAGGACCTGGGCGTTCCCACAGCCCCGGGGTGCTTCCAGCTTACCTTCCAGTGGTCCATGTGGTCCACAAAGTGGCCATTGACCTGGAGGAGCCGATCTCCATCCTGCAGCCCCCTGCGCTGGGCCAGCCCCCCCAGCTCGACCTGCCGGATGATGTGGCCCTGGTAGCCCAGCTCCTCATGGAGGTAGAAGCCGAAGGTCTCTGTGCTGCCCTTGCTCAGGAGGTAGAAGCGAGGCTCCCCCATGCCCTCACCATCTGTGTGGGGGCACAGCCTGTGAGCAGGGCCTTGCAGGGATCGTAACACAGGTTCTCTACCCCATCCTGGGCTAGGATCTCCCCATCCCTGCTGCCTTATATGTTCACCTCCCCACAGCTCCCTGGTGTGAGGTAGCCCAGAGATATTCAGCTGCTAGAACCCCGTGCTGACACAGGGATGCCCTGGGCAGGTGAGGGTATTTACCCATGTCCTCAGCCAGCGACAAGGCAGGGTTGTCGATCCCATCTTTGGGGTTAAATTCAAATTTTCTGAAACGATAAAGGGCAGGGGAGGCCACATTAGTGCAGCAGCATGGCCTTCCCCCCACCCTCCCCAGCCCTTCCATGAGGAGCCCTGTTCCTCCCAGAAGGGGCCAGCTGAGGCCACAGCTCCAGTGCCTCCCCTTCCCTGGGGAAAGCCAGGAGTGGATCTCCCCCTTGGGCTGTCCCCCACACCTCTCCTGAGCTAACAGCTCAAGGAAGACTTTCCTGGGTCAGGCAGCTGGTATTGGCAGCCGTGACTCACACCACCTCAGCTGAGGATGTGCCCCAGCACGGCCCGGTTGGAGGGCCATGAGCCCAGAAAGCCCTTGGCCATGGGGAGCTCAGCACTTACATGATGGACTTCTTGTCACCCTCGAGCCCTGCAGAGGGAGAGGAGAGGTCAGGGCAGGAGGCAGCAGGCTGGGAGCAGACCACACGCTCTCAATCACTCGAGGCTTGTCCGTTCGTAGGCTGAGCATGCTATGCCAGGTGAGGTGGGTTTGCTGAGTACGCGCGGTCCCCCTGGCCCCCTCTGCCCCCAGTGACAGCCCATGCCCAAGCACAGCTCAGCCCTTGGCCTCACCACCAGTGTCCTCTTGCATTTCAAAGCAGCAGGACACCTGCTGCTTGGGTCCAACCAGCACCCGCTGCCTACCCCAGCACCCGCTGCCTACCCCAGCAGGGTCCTGCAGCACCGGGGGAAAAGTAGGGCCAGGCAGCGGTGTGAAGATGGAGGTTAGTCCTGGGGGTTTACAGGGCTTTCAATAGACAGTTAAGAAGGGTCATCAGGGCTTCAGAAAGCTGGCTGGAGCCAGGAGATGGAGAGAGAGGCCTTTTCCAGCACACCTCCCCATAAAACCCCTCCCCTCTTCCAGAACAAGGATCCCCAAACCCGAGGAGAAGAGATTACTGCCAAGCACACCGCACAATGTCCATCTGCGTTTTTCTGGATGCCTCTAGCACCTTTCCATGGCCTGCCTGGGCTCTGACATTGCCTTGCTCTGTGCAGAAGCAGGGCCTGCAAACATGCTTGTGGGGAAGGGTCTCTGCAGGATGAAGCCCCAGTGCCCGGCACATACCTTTTGTTTGCTTCATGGCTGCAGTGAATGCGAGAGGGAGCAAGGTACAGGGTGAAGTAACAAGGAAGCCAGTGTCCCCGCCTCTTCCAAGACGCCTCAGGTTTAATGGTTAAACAGACTCGATGTCTCTTCTGCCCTCCCAGCCCCAGGGCTCTGCCAGCCCTTGCCCAGCCGAGCTGGGAGCAGGGCCCAGCACCCTGGGACACCCAGCTTGGGAACAGATCCTGGGTCCCAGCTTCCAGCTGACCCCAAGGGCAGCCCACAGTGGGGAAGACTGACTGAAAAAAAGATTCAGAACCGGGCTGCCCCATCCTAGCCCTGTGAGATGGAGAAGGGCCAGAGCCCCCCACTCCAACTGCTGGAGGGATGGCTGCAGCAGCGCCTCCACATTCCTCCCCCAGAAAGGGCCGGCAGAGGAGATCAAATCTTGGCACTAGAGCACTTCAGTGGAAACAAAGCGATGCACTTTAATGCTACCAAAGGTTTCACAACCAAGCCTGAGTCCTGCCCCTCTGCCACTGCTGTGGCTCGTGGCTGGGTCAGCAGTGGCCAGGGTGCAGGGGCTGGGTCTCTATAAGCCCAGAAGAACGAGTCCCATTTGCTCCCAGCCTGGTCTCTGTACAGTTCTCTCACACTTCAGCCTTGCCTGTAGATGAGGGCTGAGCCCCTCATACCCAGCGCACTTTTGACAGCCTAGGTAGCACCCGATCACTGGGCATCTCCACATGGATAAGGGTG